CCAGCAGGACCACTGGGACCAGCAGAGTGTTTCTGAGGCGGCTGGATCGGGTTGTCCCAGGTTCTGCTGGTCGGCTGCAGAGCTGCTCTCTGATTGGACAGCACTTTGTCCAAACCGTGGATCTGGTTCTCCAGGTGCTCACACATTTCACACAGCAGGTCATCGTCAGTCGGGTCGTCCCACACCGGGTCCAAGGAGAACAAAGAGTCCAGGTCCTGGTCCAGGTCCTGGTCCAGGTTGCTGGAGGCAGCAGGTTTCCTCTGAGTTGTGGATGAAGCAGCAGACTTGGAGCTTCCAGCAGAAAGCTTCTGATGAACCTCTGGATTCTGTGGTTCTGGCTTCACTGTGTTCCACCAACACGTGTCCTTGGTGAGCTGAGACCCGGACTCATCTGGAAACCTGCCGTCTCTAGCTGTTGTTCCCGAGTTCTGCTGCTCGGTTCTGGTATCGGTCAGGATTCCTCTGGCTGAGAAACCAGGATGAGTCTCCAGTTTGAATGTGGGTCTCGGCCACAGGTTCTCCTTTCCTACTCTGGATCCAGCCGGTTGGCTGGTGGCGCCGGCGGCAGCAGGAGTCACCTGGTTGGGTTTCTGGGTGGAGCAGTGCTTTGGGGCGGCAAAGTTCTGCGGATTCTGGGTCATCTCCAGCAACAAAGAGTCATTTAACAGGTCGTCGTTTTCCCAGTCGTCCTCGAACTCGGTTGGACCGCGAGACGAAGCGAGAGCAGCTCCAACTGGTGACGCCTGACTCAGGTGTCTGCTCACCTGTTGGGTCGGTCCGTCAAACAGGAGGTCCAGATCGTCCTCCAGGTGCTGATCCAGACGAAGCTGGACATCAGGCCGAGCAGCTGTGCTGCCGAACACCAGAACTTCCTCCGACAGCAGCTCCGGGTTCTGCTGGTTCTGGTTCTCCTCTTCTTCTTCCTCTTCGTCCTGATGGAACAAGTTCAGGTCAAACTGCCGGGCGAGTTTCAGCAGATCTTCCACCGCGTTGGGCCTGCGACAAACAAACACACCATGAGCTGAATGTACTGATGCCTCCATCCTGGATCCTGGTTCTGGAAAATACCCATAACTAGCCCTCTGAAAGGCAAAACCCCCAGGCGGGTGTGACAGTGTTGTCTAAAAAACATTCACCAAGAACCCAAAGCAGCCAGGAGCGGTAGAAACATGAAAGTGTCGTGCCTCGGGGACTTCTTCCTGGGTCTGGGAGGCTGAAGGTCTGGAGTGCAGGGGATGGTGGCGCTGTCTCCGATCCACTGCTGCAGCGTCGGCTCGGCAACCGTCGGCCTGCCGTGCTGCACGAGACACGAGAAGATCACCAACAGCAGATTAACAGCTCCACCTAGCTCCTGCTTCCAGCAGATTCATCAAAGTCAGAGATGCTTCGTTCCTCCACGACTCAAGAGTCCTGGTTTTATTCTGAACTCTGTCAGTGTCTGTGGCTGTATTTATTATTATTATTATTATTATTATTATTATTATTATTAACAACAACAACAATAATAATAATAATAAATATATTAATAATAATAATATTAATAATAATAATAATAATTTATTACTTACACTGATGTGTAAATTTCCCCCAAAGGGAGATCAATAAAGTATTATGCTACTGGCCCCGCCCCCTGCTGCTGTTGGCCCCGCCCCCTTCAGGAAGAAGACTGATTGACAGATGAGTGAGTGACAGCAGGACTTTGTATCCTCTGACTTCCTCTCTGAGGATCATCTCACAGTAAATCTGAGGGAACTCTCAGCTCATGGTGGTTCTGAACTCCTGCGTTTGGTGAGTTTGTCAGACGGCGTCATAAAATCAGGTTTAGATGAAGTGATGCTGGTTAAGTTTAGATTAGACAATGAACCACCCGGTCCTGGTTTACTGGTCTGGATTAGACCCTGAACCACCGTGTCCTGGTTTACTGGTTCCCACAGAGCTCTGACCATCAAAGCTAACGTTAGCCACATTAGCTGCACAGTGTGCTAACACTGAGGATCCTCCTATAGTTGTGAGGACCAGCAGTACTCCCAGTACTCCCAGTAATCCCAGTAATCCGCTGGGTGTTCAGCTCCTGCATGAAGACTCTTGTGTTCACTCTAACAGCAGAACATTTGGTGACTTTTGCTCGTGGTTCAGACATTTCAGAGTTTAGCAGAAGCAGCTGTAGAGAGTAAACGAACCCAGAGGACTGAGAGGCAGCTGCTGATTCTGATTGGTTCACCTGGAAGCAGTGAGGGGGCGGAGCTACTCAGAGCTGGACCACTGTTGGTTAGCTAGCTGTGAGGCAGCACCTGGTCAGACTCTTGCTGTCTGGTGAAGTGTTTCATATGTGAACAACTTTTATTTTATTAACAGCCCCAGAACACCACAAACGGATCCTGACGAAGGCGACCGAGTGACTGCATCCAGTTTAAAACTTCAAAGTAAAAAACAAAAGGGGGAAATAGAACAGACAGAGAACGTAAAGGAATGTTTATTCTGTGTTCCGTTTATGTTGTTTTTCTCTTTGAAAGAACAGAAGAACCGATAAAAGTTCTGTTGAAGCACCGGATCAATAAGCAGCCAGAGCAGCAGAACTTCAGCCATCACTGACCTTCGGAGCGATCCTGCTGACGATCTCTGAGATGTCCACGACGCCAGCGGTTTGCTTTTTACCTCTTTTACCTGAAGACGACAGCAGAGTCACCTGCAGCTCCTCCAAACCCCACAGAGCCCCCGAACAGGAAACAGAAACGTTCAGCTCACCGAGTCTGCGAGGCGACGGCGAGGCGGCGTCCCAGATGATGTCCTGCTGGAGGTCACCGTCATTCTGAGGAGAGTCTGCGCTGAAACCAGCCGCTGGCCTGGACCTCAGCACTCTGGTGGGCGTCTTAAAGTCTGGACCACAGAGAACACAACCAACGTTTCACTGCTCGGCCGTAAACCGGCTGCAACAACCATCATCCTCACCGCCGATTATGATGGAAACGATGAGGATCAGAGTTTCCTCCAGAATGCAGGACTGAACGCAGCATCAGACTCTATAACGTGCAATAAAACCACATGGCTGCATAACTTTGACTCGGTATGTAGATGCGTTTTTAAAATCCATCCTTTGAACGCTGGGTACCTGTTTATTTATCGTATTTTTATTTTATTTCATATTGTATACTTTGTTTTATATTTTGTGGTGCTGTCAGTGTCTCACGTCTTGTGTGGTTGTCTGTGTTTTTCTCTTAATTAAGCTGCTGTAAGACGTAATTTCCTGTAAAAGGATCAATAAAGTAATTATCCTATCCTCCGTCTTGTTCAGTCCAAAGATCTTCAGTTGAATAGTCACAGAGGAACGAAACCAGAAAACATTCACTGAAGAAGCTGCTTTTCACAGTTCTTCTTCTTCTTCTTCTTCTTAATTAGTCAAACTGAGAAACTGGAGCTTAATTTGCTAGTTGACACCTTACTGATGCTGAGTTGCAGTTCTAGATGCTAACTGATAGCTGCTCTGTTTTATGGACATCTGCTGACGCTTTAACACGCTGTGGTGGGACTTCTCACCAGCCTGTGATATTTCAGAGAACAAATAAGCAGATTTACCATGAATGACAATAACTGTTAGTTTCTGCTTTAGAGGTCAAACAATAGAGATTTCATTGGAGTGTCTCTTGCTGAAATCACAGATCTGCTTTGTGAAATCCTCGAACCACAGCGAGAATCCAACTGCAACTACAAGTCATCTCACCGTCGATCCACCTGTTGGTTGTTTGTCTGATGAATCGTTCATTTGTTGGCCAGAAAATGTCAGAACATACAGAACATGTGGATCAGAGTTCCTCAAATGTCCTGTTCAGTCCAAAGATGTTCAGTTTACCGTCACAGAGGAAAGAACCCAGAAAACATTCACTGAAGGAGCTGAAACCAGAGAACTTAGACGGATTTTAAAATCACATAAACTGATTAACAGATTATCAAAGTGGTTGGAGATTAATTAAATAGCTGACATTAATCAGTTGATTATTGACTGCAGAAACACACAGGAGGCTGTTGATGGTTTCTTACAGTACCTTAACTGGTAGATCTTAATTTGTTTCGAGCCGAATTAAAGTTTGAACCCAGCGGATTGCAAACACATATTTGAGGACGGTATAAAAGGCAGGTCATCTTTGAAATAAACGAGAAAACTTTAAATTGTCACAAAATTGAATGTAGTTTGGTGTTCGGTTCATGGTCAGCGGTCGAGCCGAGCGGGCGGCCAGTCGCCAGCGGTCATCTTTAATCCTGTTATTCAAAATGCATTTCTAGATATTCAGCTGCAGGTTGGTGATTTTGTTCTACGCCGATTTAAAGTGTGAACCCTCCGGAGGGAAGCGACATGTTTGGAGAGGAGGGTTATTTGAGGAAAATACATGAAAACCTAAAATTGGCAGATATGTGAATAAAGTTTGGCGTCAGCGGCTTCAACCCGCGACAACACCCGTAAAGGAAGAGGGGCGGGCGGCTCACCTGACGGCGGCCTCCTCGGAGAGTCCTCCTCCGCCTGGGTCTGTCTGCGGCTCAGGCGGTTCGCTCGGGGTCTGGCTGCCCGCCGCGGGGAGCCTGTCGGACCGGCCGGAGGAGCTTCGACCCCCCGGCCTCCGTTCATGGCGGGCGGGGATCCGGCGGAGTCTGCGGTGTTAACCGGGCGGCACGTCGTTATGCTCACGGTGTTTGTTTGTAGGCTCTGACTGGCGGCGGAGGGTTTGAACGTCCCGCCATGTTTCTTCTTCCCACAATTCCTTTCTGTGGTGCGTTCAGGAGCAACGGAGCTGCTCGGAAAATGTCCAGCGGGGAAACGCAAACAACTGTACGGTGCGTTCAAGTTCATCTGCGGAGTTATTAGATTAAAAACAAAACAGTAGCTTTTATTATACATATTTAATTTATTTTTAAGTTTATTTTGATTAAAAAATAATCCAGCAAAAGCATGAATAGCTATAGTTAAATCTGAGCAGCTGTTTTGTAATAATTATGAGACCATAAATAAACCCAAAACAACAGAATTACAAAAAGAGGCACCTTGTGTTTGAATGTAGAGGGAAACTCAGTTAGAGCTTTATAACCCCAAATTAAAGCCATTTCTCTGAAAGACCTTCAGGATGGAGACACTTGAACAGAGTTTGCAGTCTGAATCTGGTGACCTGCTGTCAGCATGAGCCGACAGTAGCTTCAGTCTTTTCCTGAACTGAAATATTTCTGTTAAACTGCAGAGATTCACTCCGGCTGCAGACTTTCTGTAGAACTGTGGGCCGTGTGATCAGATTATTTGCATGTAAAGCTGTTTCTGCCAAACGCTGGTGTTTGACAGAAGATGGCTGAGCGCAGCTGGAACATATTCATGAAGCAGATACACGCTGAGGTCTGAAGGTCCAGAGACTAACCCAGAGTCCGGTGGGATGTGCAGTTTTGGAAGGAAACATCAGATGGTGGTGCTGATCCGACAGCACAAAAGCTGTTCGGACCTCCTCCACACCTGTAACACCTGTCCCATTGGTCCTGATGGAGAGGTTCTGATGGAGAGGTTCTGATGGAGAGATTCTGATGAAGAGGTTCTGATGGAGAGGTTCTGATGGAGAGATTCTGATGAAGAGGTTCTGATGGAGAGATTCTGATGAAGAGGTTCTGATGGAGAGGTTGTGACTCTCTCGGGGCTCCTGGTTTGTCAGCGGGTCAGTTCGTTGAGATGAACCTGGTTCAGAACTCCTCTGCTCCAATCTAACACCTCCAGCGCTGACGTCAGAAGCTTCTGCAGAGGACATGACTCACAGCTGCTCATTCTCACACGTGTTCATGTGACTGTGGTTCTGATGTCTGTATTCACTCCTTGTTCTTTGCTTCTTTAGAGCGTCTGCTTGTTTTCTGGCTGCTGAGGCAGGTTTTGGCCACAAGGTGTCAGCGTTATTTTTAATGGGAATCCGTCTGTCAAGTAGTTTAGCTGTTTATTAACGGACTGGAAGTAAAACTGCAGAAACCAGTCTGATCAGTCACAGCCTTCATTTTGAAGTTGTGGTTTGAGGTAAAATTACACAACATGGGGTTGATGCAACACAACGAAGTAAGAGTCTGGAAGAAGTTTCCAACTTTGATCTGAATCGTCTTCAACGTGCTGCGTTCGCTGCCTGGTCGATCTGTAGGACGTTACAGTGTCACACAGTGAACCCTCCTCAGATGTGACTCTCATGATGCCTTTCTGCGGCTCTTTCTGCATTTTTTAGCGTCTCACGAGGAAGCCAGCAGCAGCTCATCACACAGAGAGGCCGGTTTACAGAATCCCCTGAAGAGGGACGGGAAGCCGTCAGTCAGCTCAGAGCCGCTCGTCAGAAATCAGCAACATTAAAGCTTCCTGCAGAAGAAGATCTGCAGGATGTCGTCTCCAAACTGGTTTTAAGAGCAAGATGAAAGAGGTGAGGAGCATCTGGGAGACTCTGAGGATCAGCAGGTCCACTGAGGAGGAACTATGTGTAAGTCTTCCTGTTTCCCTCCTCAGAGTCTGAAGACGGAAACCTGAAGACGTCTGATGATCACATCTGATCTCTGGTTCCTCCCAAGTGTTGATTTGAATGAACTAGATGGAGCTGAATCAACAGAAAGGCTGAACTTTACGGAATCACAGCCTCCTTTATTTTACAGTCATTTAAAACTCTGCCTTTTTAGCACAAATCTACTTGATGCAGTTTCCCAAAGAAACGTTCTAACTGCTCATCACCCGCCTTGTCTTTAATAAAGACAACTTGGAGATGTTTAGTTTGTTGGACTCTGCTGTGAACTCTGGTTACACCGTGATGGGCTGCTACTGTCGCATGTTCTGATCCAATGGCACAGATCGAGATCCATTTTGAGCTGATGACTTTCACCTCCACTGATCCTTGTTTCTGTCTGCAGCCACTCGCTGTTTCAACTGGAGACCTCAGTCTGTGGCAGAACAGCAGGGATGCTAACCTTCAATCATGAGCAGCATCACCAATAAATAATTGATTAATGGCAGATTTACTATCATCTGTTCTGTCTTTGAGTTTCCTGGTCCGTGTGTCACTGATCCAGGACCTCTGTTGATCCCAGTTTGTCTGCAACACGGTAACTCTGGTTGGAGGTCATGAACCTCCTCAGAGTCTCTTTTTGAAAACGTAGATCCAATTTAGTGAATACTTGGCTATGGGTAAACGTTGTGAGAGGCTCCACCTGGTGGTACAACCAGGTACTACAGCTGGTCTATTACAGATAAAACGATTAAAATCACAGAAAAAGGTATTAATTTACACATCAATGGTAAAAAAAAACACGATCTGATGTTTCTTGGAGGAATTGATAAAGTGAATAAAAATGAGGCAGTGACAGAGTCAGAACACAGAAACCAGATGGTTTAAGTGAATCTCTGATTTATCAGACTCAGCTCAGAGGATTCAGGTTTAATTAGAGACCAAGAAGCTCTGAAGTCAGTGAGCAGGACAGACGGGCTTCTCCATGTGTTCAGGTGGAAAAAAACACAAAGAAGACACAAAATCATGGTAAAATCGTCACAAAAAAACCTGACAAACCTGACAAAAAATACACAAAACCACCAGAAGAAAAACACAAAATCCACATAAGAGAGACAAAATCACCACAAAAACAAAGAAAACCATGAGCGAAAGACACAAAATTACCACAAAAAGACACAAAATCATGACAAAGCTGCAAAATCATCACAAAAAAACACAAAATCCACATAAAAAGACAAAAAGTCTCCGTAAAAACAAGCAAAATCATCACAAAGACACAACATTCACCACAAAAACGTGTAAAATCACAAAAACACACAAACTGTCTGAAAACAGATTCCAGGGTTCTGCAGAGGACACTGATTCTGCAGAACCTGATCGACTCTGAATGTGATCAGTAACTCCCAGAATCAGTGGTACCATAAACCGGATCATTGCTGATGACCCGCTGCGCTGAGGCCAGCACCACTCACCGTGTATTATGGGATGTACTGCCACTGTCCCTCCATCCCGACTCCGCCCAGCTCACCTGTACAGCAAACACACCTGGTGGTGTTCAGTCCAGCCAGCTCCTCTCTGTTCTGCTCGTCTCTACTCTAGTTTGTATTCTGGACAGAAAGCATGAGCTCAGGGGCCTGGACGAGACGCCAGACCAACATCCCAGGATCTCTGGCAGAGATCCGATCGACTGACCCGAACAGCCCACTCAGGATAACCGGTCCTACGACGGTGGTTATCAACTGCTTCGTTTTCTGCTTCTTCTGAAGTTTTATGGGAGAGAACTGGTTTCCAGTGGAGGTGTTTTCATACCAGTGATCTCAACCTCCAGCAGAACCTGCTGCGGAGCAGGTTAGCCGTTCAGCTAAGTTACCATGGCGATAGACCCGGTAAGAAGAGAACCACCGTCGTAGGACCAAACACCCAGGATTTAACCTGAAGCTACCTCGCTAACCCCAGATCCTGCTTCTAGTCCAGGTCTCAGGAGGGCTTCTGTACACAAAACACATTTTTAAAAAAGATGCAGAATGAGCACAAAGAGACTCGAGTCAAGTCTTCATCGTGTGAAATGTGTAGGTGTGAATGTGAGTGTGCTTGGTTGTCTGTCTCTAAGTGTAGCCCTGTGATAGACTGGTTACCTGTCCAGGTGAACCTGCCTTCACCCTGAGTCAGCTGGGATAGACTCCAGCCCCCCATGACCCTGGTGAGGATGAAGGTGTAGAGATGATGGATGGATTGTGTGAAATGTGCATGTTGAAAAGCAGGAAGTTTCCCTGTGAGGAAACACAGACCCACCAAAGGTTCCCTGGAAGCCTTACAGAGCAGCAGGAAGCAGCCTTCATACCTGCACAGGTGGCTGGTAGCTGTCCAATGAGAAGCTCTGACTCTGATGCCCCGCCCACAAAGGATCCTCAGGAACAGAAATGGAGAATCAGGAGGTTCAGACAGACTCCTGTAGAAATACATTCATTCAGGAGGTTTCAGACCTTCATCCGGTGGAGGGTTTGTTATGACGACAAAACATCATGTCAGCCAATCACAGGCCACACCGGAGGAACCGGCAATGGCAGCCATTATTAGTCATTAGTCATTAATAAGCACTAAACAGAAACGAGCTGAGGACGGAACACCGAACACCCCAAAGACCAAAAAACTCCGCTTACACACAGAATCAGGGTCCTGCTCAGTGTCCCAGTGCTGCCTCCAGTCCTGCTGCTGCTGCTGTTGTTGTTGTTGTTGTTGTTGTTGTTGTTGTGATGGTTACCGTCCTTACCGTGAATACTACTGTGTCACACTGAACATTATTGTTGTTGTTTTTCTGATTGTTGTTGATATTGTTGTTGTTGTTATTGCTGAGAACACGTGACTCTGCGGTCCTTCGGGTCTGACGTCACTCCTCCCTGGATCCAACATGGAGTAGAGCACCGGGGCTCCGGCGGGATCCTCACCGACAGCAGCGCTCCATCCTCGGCCACCGCGTCCCAGCCCGGTCCGCCGGGGCAGGAGGAGGAGGAGCAGGGCGGCGATGCGCTCCGGGGGCTGAGGACGGACAGCAGAACCGGCAGAACCGGGAGAACCGGGAGGACGAGGACACGCTCACCGGGATTAAAGGACCGAACCGGAGCCGCCGCTGCTGCAAGGCGGAAACATGAAGACACCGAACCGAGCTGCCGCGGCGGGAGCTGCTCATTACCGGAGGTGAAACGGAAAACATGAACGAGGACACGCGCCCAGACGAGTGAGTGACACACGCGCGCACACACACACACACGCACGCACACACCGCGCCGCTTCATCACACTGGATGCGCGTTGGCGCGGGTTTGTGCAAAATCCACATCACGTGGTCCGATGTGCTGTCATGGGGGTCATGTTCATCTTCATCATGTTCATCATGTTCATCACGGTAGGAGGCAGCAGCAGGCGGAGGTCTGCAGAGGTCCTCCAGAACCTGGAGAACCTGGAGAACCTGGAGAACCTCCATCAGTCCGCTGACTGATTAACTGTCGATGAAGCAGCAAACACGATTTGTGTCATTTCGCAGAATTTTGTCATTTTTAAGGTGTGTGTGTATGTGTGTGTGTGTGTGTGTGTGTGTGTGTGTGTGTGTGTGTGTCGCTGCACACTGTCAGCAAAAGCAGTGATGAGTCATGCTACACACACAGCATCTGTTTGACAGGCAGGCTGAATCACACTGAGTGTGTGTGTGTGTGTGTGTGTGTGTGAGTCTGTGTGTGTGTGTGTGTGTTGCGTCGGTGACCATGGAAACAGGATGGAGTGTTTTCAGATGTAATGCTTGCTGTCAGACCGTTCTCACAGAGCGGTCCGACCACGCCTCTCCGTCAGACCGCTCTGGCTGCTGGTGGCAGAGCAGGCAGCAGTCATGTGGAGTCAGGCTGGACTCTGCCCTCCATCCACCCCAACCTCCTCCTGAACAGAACATGGTGGGAACATGTAACCCTCCTGCTAGTCTGAGGAGGCTCCTGAAGCCTCGGCAGCACTAAGTGTTGGTGTCTCTGCAGTGACAGCTACATTGTGCGAGTCAAAGCCGTGGTGATGACCAGAGACGACTCCAGCGGCGGCTGGCTGGCGCAGGACGGCTGCCTGAGCCGGGTGGGCGTCTGCAGGCTGCTGCCGGCCGAGCTGCTGGGACGCAACACGTTCCTGATCCACGGAGAGCGTCTGAAGGACCGGCAGGTCGGTGCTCAGGCTGCATGTGGCGGCCTGTCCTCCTCATACGGCAACAGTCACTTAGATCAGAGGCCCCGGGCCTTTAATGTCCGTATAAACAGAGATCATTCAGGTTATATCGACCCTCTGAAACCCAAAACCCAACTTCTCTCAAAAAACATTGTCAGATTTTCTATTTTCTGACAGTTCTTGAACTACTCATCAGTGACTTGTGGTTCCATCAAGAACTTTAACCAAATCAGCAGATTTAATCAAACCCACTCTATTCTATATTGTCTGATTTAAAAATGAACCAAAGAAAATCAAAAGTTTATGTCATTAAAATCACTGATGTCACGTCTTATTCAAAGAGCTGCAGCAGACAGTGAGCAGAGGAGCCAGTATACATTCAGCTGATGGTGGAACATCTCTGTCCAGCTGATGAGAACATGGAGATAGTTCAGCATCTGCAGGATGAGGAGACCACAGTAGCTCCAGGGTTTAACATCTGGAACCATGCTGGACGTGATGCCTCCTGCTTTTTTTTTTTTTTTCATTTTTGTGAAACAAATAATCAAAGAAATTCAACTTTCTGTTGTGATGTTCAGGTGATCCTGGAGTGTTTCCTAAAGAAAGACCTGGTTTACACGAAGGCCACGCCCACGTTCCACCACTGGAAGGTGGACAACAGGAAGTGTGGACTGACCTTCCAGAGCCCGGCCGACGCCCGAGCCTTCGACCGCGGGGTGAGGAAGGCTCTGGAGGACCTGACGGAAGGTAACCTCACCTGTAGCTTCAGTAACGTCCACCTGTAAAGCTCCATTCTGATTGGACGGTTTCTGACAAACACCTGAGTCCAGCAAATAAAGCTCCACGACAAGAACCGGTCCTGCTGCACCGTACCTGCAGAAATCATTTCACTTCTGACACAGCTGACGTGTTCTGTGGGATGCAACCTTCATCAAGTCATTTCTTGGAATATTCTTGAATCTGTTTAAATCTTTTTCTCATTTAGTTTAAACGGACTCTGTGTGTTCAGATCATTAAAGACAGAGAACAAAGAACCTTTTAGCACGAGGTTCTTTAAAGATCCCCCAAAAGTCAAATTCAAGAAATGGTTCTTTGAGGCACAGTAATTGTCCCTAAAAAGGACTTTAGCAAAAACAGGTTCTTTAAGGAACCATAAAGAGCTGTCAAAGGTGCCAAATAGAACCATCAATATATGATTCCTTTAAGCTCCATAGATGGTGCTCCAACACACAGTAGCAGAAATAGGTTCTTTAAGGAACAAACATCCTTTAAATTACCCAAAGGTGCCTCAAAGAACCATCAGAAATGGTTCCTTAAATGATGCTCCAACTAACATTAGCAGAAATAGGTTCTTTAAGGAACCACTTTCAGGTTGGGTCCAGACCCACCTGGTTCAGTGAGGAACCTCGTGCCTCTTTGAGTGTCTTACATCTGGTGATCTTGTGCCGGTTACAGAAGGTGAACATGAGCAGAGCTGCCGGGAGTTCATTCCGTCTGTTCTGCGTCTGTTCTGCAGGGTCGACCACGTCCTCGTCCACGCTGCAGAACGAGGCGGAGCTCGGAGATGACGACGTCTTCACGGTGAGGAGTTCTGGTTCCTCTTCAGAGCTCTGAGACTCGGCTGTTTTTCAGCTTTAAACTGTCTGTCCCTCCGTCAGACCGGTTTTGACCCAGTTAGTTTGGAGCTGAGTGTTCCGTCTGTGTGTTTGTAGGTGTTGGTCTCTGGCTGCTGCAGCTTCGTGGCTCTGATTGTGTTCTTTGTGTCTCTTTGTGTTTGGTGCTGCTTAGAGTTCAGAAGGTTAAATGTTATCGGCTGCCTCCCTGTTCTGCTCCGTCTCGTCTGAGGTTCGTGTTCCTCTGTAGCATAAAGTCCTGCAGCTCTGTGGAACCAGAACATGAAGGAGGAGACAGAACTCAGAGACGTCTTCTGTCAGCAGGAATCCTCTGAATATTTATTCAACTCCAAGGCTCCACGTGCTATAGATAGTAATTATGACTGTCGGTATTTTAATAGATGTATTTACATCTTTGATTAGGTTCCACACTTGTCTCCTCTCTGCTCTGTGGGAACACTGCCTGCAGTTCATCTGAATCGGATTCACAGAAGTTGTTCCTTTTTGAGGCACATGCGAGGTGTGTCGGAAAAGTTCCAGGACTGGTGTCACAACACATATGTTTCAAACCCAAACCAGGAGGTTCCCCTTCAGACCATCAACCAGCTCGTCTACAGAGGTCCTGCAGCGTTTGCTTCATCCAGAAGAGGCAGAGTTGAGTCAGGACCAGTGGAGGCTGCGTCACCATGACAACCTGCTCACAGCGCCCTGAGCATCCCACAGCTCCTGCTGAGAAGAACATCTCCTCCCTACTCACCCCACCTGGCTCCGTGGGGTTGGTTCCTCCTCCCCAAGCTCAAGGGCTCATCAAGGAGACCCGCTTAGAAGACGTGGACGACATCAAGATGGCTGTGAGGACGGAGCTGAGAGGATCCTGGAAGAATCCTTCCAGGAGTGCATGGCGGCGTGAAGAGAAGGCTGGAGGAGGGTGGTGGACTCCAGGAGGGTTACTGGGAAGGAGAACACTGGTAATCTGGATTTGAAATCTGTCTGTTGTGACACCAGTCCTGGAACTTTTCCGAAACACCTCATAGAATAAAGTGATTCTGATGAAACATCACGTTTTTAAGCTGACATGTGGTGAATCTGACACGCTGCACATGATTAGTTCAAGGACCATCGGAGAGCTGAAAATTCTTCTTTCTGTTGTTCTTTAAAGATAAATGCTCTTCAAACCTTCTGACCGGTTTTAGGGTTAAACAGTCCTGACAGCGTGGATTGCTGATTGTTTTTAACACGGTGTGTATTGTGAGCTGCCTGTAATCTTATAAGAGCTGTAGGAGAGTTTTATTTTGAAGAGCTGTCTTTGTTTGTCAGTGGTCTGTGTTCTCCTGTCGTATCAATGCATCGCTGCAGGTTCCTCTACAGATGGTCACTGGAGGATTTTAGATTTGTATTTGTGGGGTTTGAAGCCTTCACTTCGTAGTCAGTTACTGTGAACACATTTGTGTCTGCGCCTTCACTGTGCTCTGGATGATGTTTTTGGATTCAGACCTTCCTTCAGTCTGTCGGTGTTAAACTTAATCCCTGCTTAAGATTTCTGTACCACAAACTGTTTGATGAAGGTCCACCTTCTCCTTCGTAGCTTCAGGAGAAGATGGTCAGTTACTTTAGATGTTTCACTTCCTGCTGTCTGTCCTCGTCCTCCAGACGGCCACCGACAGCTCGTCCAACTCGTCTCAGAAGCGAGAGCCGCCGATGCACGCTTTGGCGCTGCCCAACTTCTGCGAGACCCGCCGGCACCACTGCATCATGGGACATTTCTACGAGCAGCACCGGCCGTCTGATCACTACTTTCTCAACCAGGTGAGTAGAATCAGCTGACAGACTCTTGTTCTTGACAGGTGATTGATTGGACTTTGGTCTTGTGCAGTGAGCTGAAGAAAGCCGAAGAAATCATAAACAGAAGGTAAAAACCATCTGAAACCAGGTCCAAAGCCACACTGAGACTAGTTTGATACCAAAGTCTCAATACAAGTAAAACGACAAAGGACAGTAAATGTACCACAGACCAGCTGCAGTACCTGGTTGTTCCACCAGGTGGAGCCTCTTCCTGTTTAGAGACCAGAGGAGGCGTCTACAGACTACAGCTCATGGTGGCAGCAGAGAGCATTGTGGGAGTTTAGCAGCAACGGGACCATGACAGAGACTCTGAGGAGGTTCAGGACCTCCAACCAGAACTGATGAAGTCGCCTTCTGGGATCAGCTGAACTCTGCTGTTATCTCCCAGTGGAAGTGGAGTAGAACTACTGTCCACTGCACTGAAGTTCTATTATTGATTTATTGATTGTTGATTGAATACCAATGATTGTCAGGTCATAGGATCATTTAAAATGTGTCTCCTCGGTTCTGAGGGATGAACTTTAAACTGGCTGTGTCTGTGCAGGCGGTGCACATGTTTCCTCGTCACGTCAGCTTCCAGGTGGAGGAGGACATCGTACGCATCAACCCCCGCGAGCGTTCCTGGCTCACCGGCTACGAGGACTATCGCCACGCCAACGCCACACGCAGCAACGCCCCGCCCCACAACCCCGACGCCTGCGTGCACTTCACCAAGAGCGAGCCGCCCAAACACGACTACGCCTACCCGTACCCGCTGAGCTGCGACGTGCAGCGAGGCTGCGACGGGAAGCCCGGCCGCCTGGAGCCGGGCGGCCGCAGGGCGGTGGTGACGGTGCAGCCGCGAGCCCTGCAGCCCAAAGGCAAACGGAGGAAGGAGGACGGCGAGCGCTCGCGCTGCGTTTACTGTCAGGACATGTTCAACCACGAGGACAACGGGCGCGGGCGCTGCCAGGAAGCACCCGACCCCATCCAGACCTGCATCCGGCGGGTCAGCTTCATGTGGTGCGCCGACAGCCTGCTGTACCACTGCATGTCGGACCCGGAGGGCGACTACTCGGACCCGTGCTCCTGCGACACCAGCGACGAGCGCTTCTGCCTGCGCTGGACAGCGCTGGTGGGCCTGTCGCTGCTGGCGCCCTGCATGTGCTGCTACGCCCCCCTCAGGGCGTGTTATCGCTGCGGCGTCGCCTGCCGCTGCTGCGGCGGCAAACACAAAGCGGTGGGCTGAGGCTCCGCCCACAGGGTCAGGGGAGGCGGGGCCACAGAGGCTGTGATTCTGTGTCGTTTCTGTTGTTGTTGTTGTTTGTCTCGATGTCCACAAGGAGGCAGAAGAAAGGTTCCTGTTGTTCTCTGAGGACCAAAAGGCTTCACTCCTCATGAAGGCTGGACGTACTCATTTCTATATAAAGTTATATGAATATATATAAATCTATATATAAAACAAGTACTTTATATTTTTACATTTGTGTGTTTTCAGGGTGTTTTTTCAGCGTTCTGTCCGTCAGTGTGAATGTGTTTGTAGCGCTCACCGACACACAGTAGAACATCAGCCGTGACATCGTTTTAGGAAAATAATCACATGGTGTCAAATCGCTTCAGTCTAAAGGACAAACCCAACCTTTCAATAAACAGGTGTGTTCTCCAGGTGCGGAACTGGATTCTGGACGATATTTTTGAACTCGTTTTGGTTGATTGCTGATACATGCACACATTTTTTCCAGCTAACTGCAGAGAACATCAGGTCTCACCTGTAGTGGAATTAACATACAGTCTACACACCTGTAATCAGATTACTGCTAACCATAGAGTACTGTCTCTGATATCAGATTACTACCAGCTCAGATCCACAGATTAACTTCAGGCTCCACAGCAGGAACTGAACCAAAGTGAGTCCATCTCTGGTTCCTTCAGTCTTCATCTCTGCTGACAGACTCCTCAGCATGGAGACC